AGGTCAGACCTCTCTAGCATCTGAGACAGAGATCATCCTGCAATGCGAATGGCTTCTCTGAAGCCCTGACCCAGCCCAAGGCAGAGCTGAGGTGGAAGGTAAAGGGACCCCTGACCATTAGGTCCAGTCGTGGCTGACTCTGGGGTTGTGGCGCTCATCTCGCTCTATAGGCCGAGGGAGCCAGCGTCCAGCTTCCGGGTCATGTGGCCAGCAGGACTAAGCCGCTTCTATCGAACCAGAGCAGCACACGGAAACGCCGTTTACCTTCCTGCTGGAGTGGTACCTATTTATCTACTTGCACTTTGACGTGCTTTCGAACTGCTAGGTTGGCAGGAGCAGGGACCGAGCAACGGGAACTCACCCCGTCATTGCGGGGATTCGAACCGCAACCTTCTGAGAGGGCATTGCAGTGGGTGACTTAGATTTGAAGGAGCCCAAGCAGTCCTGGACCCCTGAGATGCCCACAGACTGGTGGCCTTGTTAGTGACCCCCAGAAGCAGGACTCTGCATTCTGGTTTCCCGCTGAGCGCTTTGTTCATTTAGCAAGATTTATACGCTGCTGAATCGGAAAATCTCTATGCAGCTTGCAAAATGTTCATTTAAATTAGCCATCAAAGCACACTTTAAAAATAGTAGACACTTCTAAGAAACAAGATTACGGTGCATTCAAATTACAAGAAACGAGATTCCTATTAAACATGAGGAAGAACTTTCTGATGGGAAGGGCTGTTTGATGGTGAAATGGACTTCCTTGGAAGATGGGCAGCTGTCTGCCAGCTCCATCTGGTACGCAGGATGAGACCCTCCCTGCCCGCAGACTGTCTCTCCAGAGTGGTGCATGCTCTGGTTTTCTCCCGCTTGGACTACTGCCATGCGCTCTGTGTGGGGCTACCTTTGAAGGTGACACCTTCGGTCGCCCCAGTTGCAACAAAACATGTCTCTCCCATTTCAGTCTCTACAGCCACAACAGGCACTGTAATTCTCCAACAGCCTCAGCCCAGTTTACCTGAAGGAGTGTCTCCATCCCCATCGTCCAGCCCGGACACTGAGGTCCAGCTCCGAGGGCCTTCTGGCGGTTCCCTCCCTGCGAGAAGTGAAACTACAGGGAGCCAGGCAGAGGGCCTTCTTGGTGGTGGCGCCCGCCCTGTGGAACTCCCTTCCATCAGATGTCAAGGAAATAAACAACTATCTGACTTTTAGAAGACATCTGAAGGCAACCCTTTTTAAGGAAGTTTTTAATGTTTGATGTTTTATTGTGTTTTTAATATTCTGTTGGGAGCCACCCAGAGTGTCTGGGGAAACCCAGCCAGGTGGGTGGGGTATAAATAAATTATTATTATTATTATTATTATTATTATTATTATTATTATTACTACTACTACTACTACTGTGAAGGGAACCTGTACTTCTGAATGTGGCGTTACCCTACAGCCTCCAAGTATCACGGGTGAAAACAGAGATACCCACAGTGGTTGTCTATCAGGGACAGATTTCCTATGCCCCGTGGCAAAAAATGATGGTCACAGCCCTGGAACCAAGGCAGAACCCGGGCTGCCTTCAAAGAAAGCAGAGCCACCCTGCTTAAAACGGGGAAACTGGAAGGTCTTGCAGGAGCGAATCCCAAAAGTGAATTCTGTGTTGTGGGGAGATGGGACCCCCCCTTCTTTTGTGCATCATTGTCCTGCTGTTCTGGGACGTAGGTGGCGCTGTGGGTTAAACCACAGAGTCTAGAACTTGCCGATCAGAACTTGCCGGCGGTTCAAATCCCCGCAATGACGGGGTGAGCTCCCGTTGCTCAGTCCCTGCTCCTGCCCACCTAGCAGTTCGAAAGCACGTCAAAGTGCAAGTAGATAAATAGGTACCGCTCCGGCGGGAAGGTGAATGGCATTTCCGTGCGCTGCTCTGGTTCGCCAGAAACGGCTTAGTCATGCTGGCCACATGACCCGGAAGCTGAACGCCGGCTCCCTTGGCCAGTAAAGCGAGATGAGCGCCACAACCCCAGAGTCGGCCACGACTGGCCTAATGGTCAGGGGTCCCTTTACCTTTACCTAAACAAGCTCAGGGCCCCACTCTCTTGGGGCCCCCCAAAATAATTAAAGGGGGAAAAACCCTGGATGTACATTTCAAAAATGTTCTGGGATGCAGGTGGCACTATGGTCTAGATCACAGAGTCTAGAACTTGCCGATCAGAAGGTCGGCGGTTCAAATCCCCGCAATGGGGTGAGCTCCCGTTGCTCGGTCCCTGCTCCTGCCAACCTAGCAGTTCGAAAGCACGTGAAAGTGCAAGTAGATAAGTAGGTACCGCTCCGGTGGGAAGGTAAACGGCGTTTCCGTGCGCTGCTCTGGTTCACCAGAAGCGGCTTTGTCATGCTGGCCAAATGACCCGGAAGCTGTACGATGGCTCCCTTTGCCAATAAAGCGAGATGAGCGCCGCAACCCGAGAGTCGGCCACGACTGGACCTAATGGTCAGGGGTCCCTTTACCTTTATCCTGCTGTTCTATGTGACCGAAAATGACTTCTGTACAGTAGGTGGAACCCTGAATTCTGAGAAGATTACACACAGAAACACACACACAAGAAATTGTTTTTATATCAGCAACTTTCCCCTTCCAGCTTGGGGGAAAGAGGAAGCTAGAGCAACACAGTCCCCTTTGTGTTATTCATGGACTCAATGCCATCGTGGCACATGCCATTCCAGTAAAATTTGGTGGCATTTTGCAGGCCTTTCCCGTTGTGAAAAAAGAGCTGTGATTTATCCTGCAGTTGCAAACTAAGGACATCGGAAGAGGCCGGATGAATCAGGACCGCAGCCTCCTCCCACCACCCCCTCCAGGCAATGAGAGATACTTCTAGGAAGCTCCCTGGAGAGTAGGAAGACAACTGTCCCAGCCACTTGCTTTTCATCCTGCTGGCAACTGCTATTCAGAGGTAGACTGCCCCTGAAGATGGAGGGTCCATTTGTTGTTGTTGAGTCGTTTAGTCGTGTCCGCCTCTTCGTGACCCCCTGGACCAGAGCACGCCAGGCACTCCTGTCTTCCACTGCCTCCCGCAGTTTGGTCAAACTCATGCTGGTCCCTTCGAGAACACTGTCCCACCATCTCGTCCTCTGCCGTCCCCTTCTCCTTGTGCCCTCCATCTTTCCCAACATCAGGGTCTTTTCCAGGGTCTTTTCCATCTTCTTGCAGTCCATGGGACTCTCCAGAGTCTCCTCCAGCACCAGAATTCAAAAGCATCCATTCTTCGGCCATCAGCCTTCTTTATGGTCCAGCTCTCACTTCCATACATCACTACTGGGAAAACCAGAGCTTTAATTATACGGACCTTTGCTGGCAATTCTATAAAACTCTACAATTCTATAAAACTCTACTGTGCCCTACCTTTGCCTAGATGACATCCCTTCTTCGTTCACCCGCTTTTTACAGACCCCTGCATGGCATCGTGATCAAAATATGCTCTCCTCAACCTCATTTTCCTTGATCAGCTTCTGCTTTCTTATTCAGAGCCCAGAATATCTTACTTTTTCTTTTAGCGCAGGGTCCTGTCCATACTGAAAATAAAATCCCTGCGCCAAAGGAAGGAAATGGTGAAGCGCTTCCCACGTATAATTTTGAAGGAAAATGTCACCAGTTCTTTCACTGCAACGCTTCAGCAGCTAGCAGTTTTTTTAAGAAACACGTGAGATGTTGATTCCTTTATTGTAAATGGAGCCTTGCACTGTCTACTCAGAAGTAAGTACCACTGTATTCGATGGAGCTTACTCCCAGGTAACTGGGTAAAGACTGAGCGGCCTTACACTGCGATCCTAAGCATTTTTACTGGGAACTAAATCCCACTGAGTTCAATAGGATTTACTCTCTGGTATGTTCCTGATCATTCTCACAGTTTCTATTATTATTATTATTATTATTAGTAGTAGTAGTAGTAGTAGTAGTATTCTTGAAGTAGTAGTGTTCTCGAAGCTACCAGCATGAGTTTGACCAAACTGCAGGAGGCAGTGGCAGACAGGAGTGCCTGGCGTGCTCTGGTCCAGGGGGCCATGAAGAGGCAGACACGACTAAACGACTAAACAACAAAGTAGTATTACCCGCCTTTTTCCCTGACAAGGACTCAAGGCAGGTTTATTTCACCCCATTTTTCTGCATCACCTTGCCAACAAAGGTCCGTATAATTAAAGCTCTGGTTTTCCCAGTAGTGATGTATGGAAGTGAGAGCTGGACCATAAAGAAGGCTGATTGCCGAAGAATGGATGCTTTTGAATTCTGGTGCTGGAGGAGACTCTTGAGAGTCCCATGGACTGCAAGAAGATCCAACCTCTCCATTCTGAAGGAAATCAGCCCTGAGTGCTCACTGGAAGGACAGATCCTGAAGCTGAGGCTCCAAGACTTTGGCCACCTCATGAAAAGAGAAGACTCCCTGGAAAAGACCCTGATGTTGGGAAAGATGGAGGGCCCAAGGAGAAGGGGACGACGGAGGACGAGATGGTGGGACAGTGTTCTCGAAGCGACCAGCATGAGTTTGACCAAACTGCGGGAGGCAGGGGAAGACAGGAGGGCCTGGCGTGCTCTGGTCCATGGGGTCACGAGGAGTCGGACACAACGACTAAACAACAACAACAAAATTTATCTGCTCAAGGTGATGTGTATACGACGTCTATGTGAACCGAGAAATGTTGGAGGGGATGAGCTTCTGCAGTAAAAAGTTTTCCTCCCTCTCATCACTCCAGAACTTGCAGACACGCAATGAAGCTGAGCCTTGGAAGATTTAGGGCATATAAAAGAAAGGGCCTCTTCATGCAGACTGTGGAACTCACTCCCACTGGAGACAACCAATTGTTTGGCTTCGAAAGAGGAAACGTGATCTTGGCTTCTATGCTTTGTTTGCTTTCTGGTTCCTCTCTTTCGGCTCAACTTCCACTTTTCAAAGAATGCCAGAGGGTGAACTTAGCCCCAGTTCAACTATGGGGGGGGGGCAACCCAGAGGTTGGGCTTCCCCTGCTGTCACCGCTTTGCGGTTTTGGAAAGCTCTAAATATGACCGTCCCCCGGGAGAAGGAAGCACATGGGCCAAGATAACCCACAAGTGTCAGGCGGACGGACAGAAACCCTGATTCACCCCTGCCTGAGAGACGAATAAAGAAGCAAAGGTAGAACTGGGGGCGGGGAGCTCCTAATCCCAGTTTGGACCTGCTGGGTGGCACTCGAGGGAACTGGGATTGGGTGGGCGATGTCCTCGCAAATTCTCATGCGCAGAAGGTGCCTTTTGGGGCAGGACTTTGAAACAGACTTCAAGATGAGGAGCAGGGGGGGGCTCTGTGAGGGGAAGAAGCACAACTCTCGGCACCTGAAGAAAACGACAGCTCCCAGAATCCTTTGGAGAAAGCCGGGGCTGTTCAAAGTGGTCTCATAGTGCTTTTTATTTATTTATTTTTATTTTATTATCATATAAAACACATACACATACATTTACACAATACACATACACATACACAACACACTACCTAATTTTCATAACGTAAAACATACTACATTACTCTATATAATACCTACCTATACTATACATGGGATGCGGGTGGCGCTGTGGGTTAAACCACAGAGCCTAGGACTTGCCGATCAGAAGGTCGGCGGTTTGAATCCCCGCGACGGGGTGAGCTCCCGTTGCTCGGTCCCTGCTCCTGCCAACCTAGCAGTTCGAAAGCACCTCAAAGTGCTAGTAGATCAATAGGTATCGCTCCGACGGGAAGGTAAACGGCGTTTTCGTGCGCTGCTCTGGTTCGCCTCTCCTTTCCCTCCCTGTGCCCCCGTCTAGGGACTGGGTTCCAGGTCAGCCGGATAACTCTTCCAGCCACGGACTTTTGGGAGGAGAGAACTGCGTCCACTTCCACAGCGACGGCCACTGGACCGACGACCACTGCTCTCTCGACTTTGGCTGGATCTGTGAGATGGAGATAACTGATTAAGGCGGCGGAAATTGGGTGTAGCTAGGATTTATTTTAGGGGGGCAGGCTTTAAGTTAGGGACCGCAGAACCGAGTTACCTGCAACGCAATTGGTCAGTTAGTTAAGTATTTTTATTTATTTACTTGATTGGAGGGCAGCTGCCCCCCGACCCCCCAGGTATGCCCATGCGACAGAAATCTGACCTCCAGCTGAAACTCAGACTCCAACAGGTTTTGCAACGGAAAAATCCAAATTGGAAACGGAGTTGTTAGATACCAATGTTAAAAACCTGTCCAAAATGTACAATTTATTGTTGGAGTGGCATACAAAGGATGAACAAGTTAAATCTGTAACGATAGATTGGGCAAGAGATGTTGGACACAATATAATGTTAGAAGATTGTGAAAGGTTACGGAAGAAAGGGGTTAAGTTTACTGCATGTACTGCATTAAAAGAAAACATTATGAAAATGATATATAGATGGTACTTAACCCCGGTAAAATTAGTAAAGATTTACTACACGAACGATAATTTATGTTAGAAAAAGAAGGCACCTTTGATCATATGTGGTGGATGTGTCCCAAGGTGAAGGACTTCTGGGAAAAGATTTATAATGAGTTGAAAAAAATGTTGAAAAATACATTCATTAGTATTGGAATGTGTTTTCTTTTGTGTGTTTTTATATGTTATAAATGTGGAAAATTAATTTAAAAAATTGGGGGGGAAAGAAACTCAGACCCCAATCAACCCCTCTCAACATGGTTCTTAGTAGCTGCCAGACTTTCTATTGCACAAAAATGGGTGTGTGTGGAATTAACGGACCTGGTTTTGGAACAGTGGTACAAAAATGGTTGCAATTGCTGAGGAGATAACCCACAAGATTTGGGTGATAAAAGGCAAGGAATAAAGAGGACCTTTTTGTGCAATTTGGTGGGGTTTCGTATCCTACGTTTCAGATCTGCTTGATTCCTCACTGTCACTCAAAAATGAAATTTGGCTCTCCAAACCCATGAGTTCGTTCCAAACTTTTTTCAAAGAGGGCCAGATCTGATGAAGTGAAGGGCCGTTAGGGCTGACCAAAGGGCCAACTGTGGTTGTTGAGGTTTTTTTAGGATTGAAGTTGTTGAAGGTTTTTTTAAGGATTTTACCCCTGCAAATAAACTGCCACAGGGGCCGGATTAGGCTCCCGAAACGGACTTTGGACATGCCTTGTTTAAAATGTAGTACAGTATTCACTACCGTCGTGCAACTGTCTCACTGATGATTTCCCAACTTTTGGTGTTGTCTCTTTCCATTGGTTATTGTTTTCATGTAATAGGAATAAAACTTTGTAATTAAAAAATATATATTACACGTTGGTTGAAGAAATTTGATTCAGTTCTCATCTAAAGACAAGTCTGCCAAAGTTGCACATGAGCCAAAACACAGCCGTCTGTCAATATTACATTATTTTTGCAGTTCTCCGCCCAAGGAATATGTTCACAAATGCATATGCTATGGTAAACCTTCGCACTGTTATAGAAAAATTTGGGGTTGGCTTTTACAGCCCAACGCCCTATCGAGGAGCTTTGTGTCCCCTAAGCCTATTATCAGTCAGAGAAGAATGGATGGAGGCAGGATTCAGTCAAAGCAAAACAGATCTTTATTTTTCTGTTGCAACAGAGTGCCCTACCTTGCACCTTGCAAGGAGGCAAGGACCCAGAACAAAGGTGTACAAGAACTTTTAAAGACTTTAGAAATTGTCCAAACCCCTAGCCAAAAACTACCCCACACATGCCACAGAAAGAGGCGGTCTACAACAGAAATTTGAGTGCATGGCTTCTCTCCTGTCTGCCAAGATACCTGATAACGGTCACCAATTACCTGGCCAGTCTGAGCCAGTTTTTTGAGATGGTAAATATTTTAGTTCTTGAATCCAGGTCAGAGGTCTGCCCTGTGCATATACAGAATATGCCCTTAAAGCAGGATTTGAAAATGAAAAGAATAATTGGAAGAGGTTTCCCCAATATATTTCCCTCTGCAGAGGAACTATCTGGGGTCATTCAGAGTCAAAATGGCTTCAGGATTGCTCTCCTGTACTCTGTCATACATGTAGTTTATGTACTTCTGCACAGGTGCTTACTGTGCACACTTACGAGCATTCATTTTATTTATAACATCTATGAATTTTTATACTGTAATGGCATTAAAATGCAACTGTAATCATTTACAGATGGTCACAGCATATGAAGTCAGAAGGACAAAGTTGCAGGTGTTTTTAGGGCATATCTCAGTCACAAATCTCTCTCTCTCTCTCTCTCTCTCTCTCTCTCTCTCTCTCTCCTCTCCACTACATTTTGGGGCGCTCCTTGAGAATGTGGAAGGGTGAGCCATCCTGACAAGTACCTCTGCTTAAAAATACACCTCCTCCTCCTCCTCCTCCTTCTTCCTTGGTGGTCACTCGTAGCTGAGTAAGATTGTCTTCCATGAACACAGTTTTAACAGTGAGTCCATAAGTTACTGTGGAGGCCAATTCTGGATCTGCACGTCCTTCCACAGTGGGGACATAGTTTTCCGGGCAGGAGTCAATCACGGTGTGGATTTGCCAAGCGTGCCTTCCTCACAGCACGTTTCTCCCTTGCGTCCTGAGTTCGAGTGTCTTCAAAGCCCATGACACCTTTGGTCAAGGCTGTTCTCCAAATGGAGCACTCGCAGGCCAGTGTTTCCCATTTGTTGGTGTTTATACTACATATTTTAAAGATTTTCCTTGGGGGATCCTTAAACCTCTTTTGTTGACCACCAGCATTACACTTTCCATTTTTAAGTTTGGAATAGAGTAGTTGCTTTGGAAGGCGATCATCAGGCATCTCAATAACATTACCAGTTCAACACTGTTCAACCAGTTCAACACTGGTGATCTTTGCTTCTTCCAGTACACTGGCATTAGTTCACCTGTCTTCCCAAGTGATGTGTAAAAATTTTTGGAAACGCCGTTGATGGAATCTTTCAAGGAGCTGGAGATGGCGTTTATAAGTGGTCCACATTTCACAAGAATACGGTAAGGTTGGCAGTACAATAGCTTTGTAAACAAGCATTTTGGTTTCCCTGCGAATGTCCCGGTCCTCAAACATTTTGCACTTCAATCGGGGAAAAGCCGCACTCACAGAGTTCAGGCGATGCTGGATTTCGGCATCAGTGTCAGCCCTTGTGGAAAGATAACTGCCCAGGTAGGAAAAGTGATTGACACGTTACACCATTGAGTTGGATTTGTGGCGCTGCAGAGGGGTTGTTTTGTGTTTGTCGGTGCAGCACTTTGGTTTTTTGGATGTTGAGCAATAGGCCAAGCTTTTCGTAAGCTTCTGAGAAGATATTTAGGATGGTTTGGAGGTCATCCTCTGAGTGTGCACACACTATACAAAATGCACCATTACTCCCCAAGCCACAGTCACATCTTGCAGAAATGAGTCTCATAAGTTAATTTTGTGTTGTTGTGAATCATGACCCTGCTGTCCTACATGACCTAGCATGACTTCTGTAGGTGTGCCCCTGAATTCTAGGGAAATGACAAACCCCAAACGTGTCTCCGTCAGCAGCTTTCCCCTACCAGCTCAGCGCAAAAGAGGAAGCTGGAACAAAGCTTCTGGGCCACGTGGAGGAACATTGCCAGATAAAATGTGCCATAAATAATTCCACTTCCAGCTTGTTCCACTGCTGAGGTCACAGGGTTTGGGGAAAAGGGGATGGGAGTTTATGAAGCTGGGCCTGGTTGGAGGAAGTGGACACAGGAACATTCTCTTCTCCCTCCTCTTGCCAGGTGTGGGGGACTCCCTGGTTCTGAATGAGGCAGCTGTGCCCCCGAAGGACCAGGTGCGCAGCCTGGGTGTCATTTTGGACTCACCGCTGTCCATGGAGGCGCAGGTCAATTCTGTGTCCAGGGTGGCCTGTCTACCAGCTCCATCTGGTACACAGGATGAGACCCTCCCTGCCTGTGGACTGTCTGGCCAGAGTGGTGCATGCTCTGGTTATCTCCCACTTCGACTACTGCAACACGCTCTATGTGGGGCTACCTTTGAAGGTGACCCGGAAACTGCAATTAATCCAGAATGCAGCAGCTAGACTGGTGACTGGGAGCGGCCGCCGAGACCACATAACACTGGTCCTAAGAGACCTGCATTGGCTCCCAGGACGTTTCCGAGCACAATTCAAAGTGTTGGTGCTGACCTTGAAAGCCCTAAACGGCCTCAAAGGCCCAGTAGACCTGAAGGAGCGTCTCCACCCCCATCGTTCTACCTGGACACTGAGGTCCAGCTCTGAGGGTCTTCTGGCGGTTCCCTCCCTGCGAGAAGTGAGGTTACAGGGAACCAGGCAGAGGGCCTTCTCGGTGGTGGCGCCCTCCCTGTGGAATGCCCTCCCACCAGATGTCAAGGAAATAAACAACTATCTGACTTTTAGAAGACATCTGAAGGCAGCCCTGTTTAGGGAAGCTTTTAATGTTTTAAAAGAGGACTGGACAAATTCATGGAAAGGAAGGCTATTGACAGAAAATAGCCATGATGGTTCTGGTCTGGCTCCACGTTTGGAGGCTGCGATGCTTCTGAATCAGTTGCTGGAAATTGCAGGAGCTGAGAGTGGCTCTGGGGGTCAGATCCTGCCTCTTTCCCATAATGGATGTCTGGTTGGCCTCCGCAAGGACAGGACGCTAGACTAGATGGGTCATTGGCCTGATGGAGCAAGCTATTACAGTGGTACCTCGGGTTAAGTACTTAATTCGTTCCGGAGGTCCGTTCTTAACCTGAAACTGTTCTTAACCTGAAGCACCACTTTAGCTAATGGGGCCTCCTGCTGCCGCCGGAGCCCAATTTCTGTTCTCATCCTGAAGCAAAGTTCTTAACCTGAAGCACTATTTCTGGGTTAGCGGAGTCTGTAACCTGAAGCGTATGTAACCTGAAGCATATGTAACCCGAGGTACCACTTTTAAAAACACTTAGATACTGCCTGAAGGGGTAAAGAAGTACATTAAATAAATAACAGATAAACAGGGAGAAACGCAAATAATTCATCCAGTGAAAATGCTGGCAGCATTCAGATAAATTCAACAGTGTAAACAAGTTTTGATAGGTGCAGCTTGGATCCCAAACGCCTTGCGACTCTAACGTTTTGGCTCCTGAATGCCGCAAACCTGGACGGAAATGATTGTGCCAGTTTGTGAATGTACTTTGGAACCTGAACGTCTGACACGGATTCCGCGGCTTCCTGCAGCCAATCAGAAGCTGCACCTTGGTTTCTGAACGTTTTGGAAGTCAAAGGGACTTCCGGAATGGATTCCGTTCTACTTCCGAGGTACGACTGTAGTGGAATACTGAATGGTATAGTTTTTGTAAAATATGCAGGGATTTGTGATATTTAAATTTATCCATGGAAAGAGAAGATGGGAAGTCATTGATATCTTAGGGGTGTGAAATGAGTATTTTAAATTGTAAAACAGAAAATTTAATAAAAATTTTAGAGAGAGAGAGAGAGAGAAAGAGAGAGAGAGAGATGATAGATGATAGATAGATAGATAGATAGATAGATAGATAGATAGATAGATATAGATGATAGATAACCAAATAATTCATCCATTCTCTAAACATCTTTCATGTGGGAATTTGATTAAATGGGAAAAAAAGAAAAAAAGAAAAAAGCAGATGGATTACAGGGTTAAAATTCACATTGTGTTCTGATCTTAAATAACTTTTTAAACAAAACAGTGTATCAATCATATCCAACTCTGGCGAAATTATCTAGAATGTTCCAAATGTTTGCTGGAAGTGTGAAAAATATGAAGAGATGTTTTATCATGCTTGGTAGACTTGTAAAAAAGCTAAGAAATATTGGATACACCGATGCAGATGATTTTAAAGCTTAGCATTCAGTTGAAGCCAAGACTTTTCCTGTTAGGAATAATGGATATGTAATTAGAAAAAGACTATAGAACATTATTTCAATACATGAGCACAGCGGCGAGGCTTTTATATGCGCAAAGATCGAAAGATTCACCATTACCTACCATGGAGGAATTATTGTTAAAATGATTGGTCTTAGCTGAGGTGTTTAATCAGAGAAAAACCATTGTCAATATTTACTAAAGATTGGAAACTCCTTATAGACTTTTTGAGGGGGAAACAAAACGAAAATTATGATATCTGGGTTTAAAAACTGAAGAAAGTATTGGTTTATAGAAAACGGGTGCTATCTTGGAACAGATGTTTTGAACAATTTTCAGTGTATAGCTGACAAACAAAGATTTGAAACTTCTCTCTCTTTTTCCCTTTCCCCCTTTATTTTCTTCCTTTTAGTTTGTGTTTCTATTTAGATTAGATAGATAATTTATTACGGTCAGAGACCAGCTTATAAAACACACTTGGGGGTACAGTCACAGAAGGAAAACAATCAATCAAAACAATGTACAGTGGTACCTCAGGTTACATACGCTTCAGGTTACAGACTCCGCTAACCCAGAAATAGTGCTTCAGGTTAAGAACTTTGCTTCAGGATAAGAACAGAAATCGTGCTCCAGCGGCACGGCAGCAGGAGGCCCCATTAGCTAAAGTGGTGCTTCAGGTTAAGAACAGTTTCAGGTTAAGAATGGACCTCTGGAACGAATTAAATACTTAACCCGAGGTACCACTGTACAACTATAAATTTAAAAGCAATGTACAATTTAAAAACAACGTATGACAATAAACTACTGCAGGGAGCTGACCCAGAGTCACCCGTAGAACCGAGTTTGGGGATTTTCTTAACGAACTAGTTTGAGTTGGGAGATGGTCTGCGCCTACAGATCTGTATTTACATTATTTTTTTCGGGGGGGGGGGGAGGGATGCAAAGGTTAGCATCAAATATCCAGCATCTTTTTATCAAAGATTTTTAAAAAAACTTTAATAAAACCTATTCCATACACACACACACACACACACATTTCCTCATTTTTGTATCTTTGTGGGAGGGAAATGGGTTTAACTCTGTACGTTTTGTTCTCTCCCTGGTCCTCCTCTGTTGGCTAAACTTCCACTTTTAAAAGGAAGCCAAGAGGGTAAACTAGGCTATCAGGGAGGGAGGGGGCAAACCCCGGAAACTGGGTGCCCCCGTGATGCTGCTGGCACTGCTCTGTGATTTTGGAAAGCTCTCAGATTTGACCGTTCCCTGCAGAAGGCGGCGTGTTGACAGGGCAAAGATCACCAGCCAGCGCCAGGCCACACTGGGAGACGTCAGGCGCCCCTGCACACCCTCCCCCCACCCCCAGGAGACCAGGAAAAAGGTAGGACTGGGGGAATCCTAATCCCAGTTTGGGTTTGGTGCTGCTTGCTGGGAGAAGGGCTGCCTTGGTATCACCCACCCAGGAACTGGAATTTGGGTGGGCGGCATTCTCGTGGTGAGAGGGACAAAGCTGCCATTTTAGGGACAGGGTTTCAGGGCAGGCGTTCGGGTCCTCGCTCACCGGACCGGGCTTCTCTTTTCAAATTTTTTTATTGATTTTCCAAAATTTACAAACAAACAAACATAAATCCTAACTGTAATTATTCCACTCTTTAAAAAAAAAAAAATTATTAGATTTTCCACAATGGTAACACAAACCACAAAGCAAAACGATACACAAAAACAGGGAAAAAGGAACAATAAACAGATAAACAATAACACCAGACTTAATTCTTCACAAATCCAACCTTTTAAACATCATGGTTGACTTCCTCAAATCCCTCCCTTCTGAGTTTCCTTGTAGTTAAAAGTAACAGCTTTCCAGTATCATTATTAAACTAAAACAATTTCCAATTATAGTCCATCTTACTCACTTTTCTTAACATTCTAAATCCCATTTATTTAATTGTAACTTAGTTTAATCCTAGGCCTATTTGTTTCTTTCAAGTGATTTCTAATTTTTTATATTGGTAATTATTCCACTCTTAATAACATTGTTATATGACTTCCTGGAATCCACCTGGCTGTGTTTCGATATATAGCATTATAACGGTTTTCCAAAACAAATTTCTCATAAAATTTACTTACCGCTAATCAATTAACGTCTTTCTTTCTCTTCATTTAAAATTTAAACATGTTATTCTATGACATCACATATTTAAATCCTAAGCCTATCTAGAGTTTGCAAGTATTTCTATTTAAATTATCTTAGCATATTTAACTACCGTATTTTTTGCTCTATAAAACTCACTTTTTCCCTCCTAAAAAGTAAGGGGAAATGTGTGTGCCTCTTATAGAGCGAATGCAGACTGCACAGCTATCCCAGAAGTTAGAACAGCAAGAGGGATTGCTGCTTTCACTGCGCAGCGATCCCTCTTGCTGTTCTGGCTTCTGAGATTCAGATTTTTTTTTCTTGTTTTCCTCCTCCAAAAACTAGGTGCGTCTTGTGGTCTGGTGCATCTTATAGAGCGAAAAATACGGTACATAGTCTTTGAATTTCCTCCATTCCTCCTGGTACTCCTCCTCCTTCTGGTCGCAGACTCTTCCCATCAAGTCGTCTAGCTCCGAAAAGTCCATCATCTTCATCTGCCATTCCTCCACTGTTGGGACTTCTTGTGTTTTCCAATTCTTGGCTAACAAAACTCTAGCTGCAATTGTGGCATACAAAAACAATCTGACATCTTTCTTGGGCAATTCCAAACCTGTTATTCCAAGAAGAAAGGCCTCTGGTTTCTTAAATGTATATTTCAACATTTTTTTACCAATTCATTATAAATCTTCTCCCAGCGGACCGGGCTTCTCGCTGCATTTTGAAGTCATGGACTCCTAGAATGGTAGAGTTGGAAGGAGAACCCAAGGGTCATCTAGTCCAACCCCGCCCCGCAGGAATTGCAGCTGGAGAGTCCCTGACAGACAGCTGTCTGAGGCTCTGCTGACCACCGCCTTCCGAGGTCGGAGAAGTAGCTGTGGGGTCGGAATGGGGGCCCCAAGTGTCATCCAGCTGAACCCATCTCCGGAGGGAGTCCATTCCGCTGCTGGACGGCTCTTACCGTCAGAAAGCTCTCCCTGAAGTTTTGTCAGGGTCTAGGGACGCGGGTGGCGCTGTGGGTTAAACCACAGATCCCAGGACTTGCCAATCAGAAGGTCGGCGGTTCGAATCCCCGCAATGAAGGGGTGAGCTCCAGTTGCTCGGTCCCTGCTCCTGCCAACCTAGCAGTTCGAAAGCATGTCAAAGTGCAAGTAGATAAATAGGTACCGCTCCGGCGGGAAGGTAAACGGCGTTTCCATGCGCTGCTCTGGTTCGCCAGAAGCGGCTTAGTCCTGCTGGCCACATGACCCGGAAGCTGTATGCCGGCTCCCTCGGCCAGTAAAGCGACATGAGCGTCGCAACCCCAGAGTCGGCCACGACTGGACCTAATGGTCAGGGGTCCCTTTACCTTTTACCTTTCTCAGGACTCGGATCCACTCGTTCCGGGAGTCCCACCCTCTTGTGTCATGTTTTAGAGATCTCCCTTACAGGGAATCTGACTGAGGCACTGGGGGTCTGGGGTCTGTAAAAGCCCCAACTGAATGAGAGGTTGGAGTTCTGTTAAAATCCTTGGTTCGTAATAGTTCCCTGTTATTCACAAAAGACACACAGCCCAGTAGCTGAAGACACCAGAGCAGAATGGCATTTTTGGGGGCAAGTGAATTTCTGAAGTAGTCAACTTATAGGCGTCTGGCCGTGAGTCCGGCTGTGCCAGCTTGCCAAGGTCAACACCCTTATGTAGACTTGTTATCTGTGTAGACATAAATCTGAGGCTACAATTCTCCCTTTCCGCATGTAGGCTTGTACAGGGTCGGATTTAGGTTTGATGAGGCCCTAAGCTACTGAAGGTCTATCATCTATCTATCTATCTATCTATCTATCTATCTATCTATCTATCTATCATCTATCTATCTATCTATCTATCTATCTATCTATCTATCATCTATCTATCTATCTATCTATCTATCTATCTATCTATCTATCTATCATCTATCTATCTATATCTATCTATCATCTATCTATCTATCTATCTATCTATCTATCTATCTATCTATCTATCTATCTATCATCTATCTATCTAATTATCTATCTATCTTTTGGCGGGCTACTGTACCTTCAGTTAAGAGCTCCTTTCCTCCATGCAAGGTCTGACGAGAGTTGTAATTCAAAACAACAGAACTGGAGGTCACCAGGTTGAGAAGCCTAGCTTAACCAATCCTTTAGCACCGTGTTCTGCCTCCTCGCCTGATTCTGACATGCAGGCATCCGTGTTCCGTGTCTTTCCAGGTGCCTGGTCTCGTTCCGGAGCCAGAGTCACGATGAGTCAGGACTACCGAGATCTCACAGCTGTGGACGTGGAGGATGACGATGACGAAATACAGCTCCGAAAAGGTGTGTAGCCAAGACGGGATTTTGAAAAGACGTGTGGGGAACTAGGTCCGTGTAGGTAAAGGCTCATAGGAAGTCTCCTTCTGGCATGCTTGCGAAAAATTGTAGAGTTGGAAGGGACCCAGGTCTCTTGGGCTTGCTGATCAGAAGGTCGGCGGTTCGAATCCCCGCAGCAGGGCAAACTCCCGTTGCTCTGTCCCTGCTCCTGCCAACCTAGCAGTTCAAAAGCACACCAGTGCAAGAAGATAAAAAGGTACCACTCCGGCGGGAAGGTAAACGGCGTTTCCTTGCTCTGCTCTGGTTTCCGTCACGGTGTCCCGTTGCGCCAGAAGCGGTTTAGTCCTGCTGGCCACATGACCTGGGAAGCTGTCTGCAGACAAACGCCAGTTTCCTTGGCCTGAATGCGAGATGAGTGCCGCAACCCCATAGTCGCCTTTGACTGGACTTAACCGTCCAGGGGTCCTTTACCTGTTTTTTTATATCTTGTTCAACCTGCTGCAAGACAATACAGTGGTACCTCGGGTTAAGAACTTAATTCGTTCCGGAGGTCTGTTCTTAACCTGAAACTGTTCTTAACCTGAAGCACCACTTTAGCGAATGGGGCCTCCTGCTGCCACCGTGCTGTCGCTGAGCAATTTCTGTTCTCATCCTGAAGCAAAGTTCTTAAGCCAAGGTACTATTTCTGGGTTAGCAGAGTCTGTAACCTGAAGCATCTGTAACCCCAGGTACCACTGTATTAATGGGGTCCTCGCGAGATGGACCAGGATCGTGACAGCAATGCTATGTTGACTAGTGTCCATTTTTCCAAAAGAGCAAGGACTAATTTGGGATTGATTATTTCAAGAAATAAGCACACCATACGGTCAGATCTAACTCCTATTGTAACTCCATAAAACTTAGGTTGACTTTCCACTAGCCCTTTTCTCTGGATTTGGGATTCGGGTTCCTTGGGGCTACTGTGCCTTCAGTTAAAATGTTCCTTCCTTCCTTCCTTCCTTCCTTCCTTCCTTCCTTCCTTCCTTCCTTCCTTCCTCCTCTCCCTGCACCCCTCTGCACCTGCTCTGCCTTTTAGTGCTTCCTGCTCAGTGACGCTGGGAAATTAGTCATGACTTGCCATGTGATTAGTCAGCAGTAAAAGAGGCAGAAGCTGTAAGGAGAAAGCCGATAATTAAGATTACAGGGGACCTTGTAATTACTGGGGAGGAAACATTTCGAAGAGCTGTGAAAAAATGCTGCTGGATAAAATGTGTGATATGTTTTAAGTCCATTTCCAGCTAACTGTGGCAAAGTCATGTCTCCGCATTCCTAAAGAGCCTATGGGAATAGCTCTGTGGCCATGTAATTATGGGCTACTTTGGACCATACTGTATTAGGAATTTGTAAATCAACAAATAAGTACAGTGGTACCTCAGGTTACATATGCTTCAGGTTACATACGCTTCAGGTTACAGACTCCGCTAACCCATAAATACTACCTTGGGTTAAGAACTTTGCTTCAGGATGAGAACAGAAATTGCATGGTGGTGGTGCGGCGGCAGTGAGAGGCCCCATTAGCTAAAGTGGTGCTTCAGGTTAAGAACAGTTTCAGGTTAAGAATGGGCTTCCAGAACGAATTAAGTACTTAACCCGAGGTACCACTGTATGGCAAATTCAGTACACACTTTCCCCTGTCTCATAATCTTTCTGCCTCTGATCCCTGTCCCTTCTCCACCTCCTCTTCCTCTCAAACTTTGGCCTGTTTCCACCCTTCCTTCAGTCACACTTTTTCTGAGCTTCTCCTCCATCTATGAACTCTGCTCACTCCCGGACCTCCCCTACAAAACTCCGCCTTTCCTTTAGGGCCTGTGTGAAACCACTTCCCCCCGAGTGACAATTTCCCCTTCCCTCAAAGAAACTGGCCTGCAAAAATTCCGACCGTTTTTGCTGCCTGGTTGCTTGGAATGCTCATAAACATCACAGCGTTGCAGCCAAGTGGTGTCAGAAGTGTCAAGCAACGTTGACAGATAAATTACTTGAGAAGATCTAAAACGCATGCTGGAGTTGAGGGTGTATTCCTGACCGATGTCCCTTCTCCTCAGCCTCCCAGAAACGCTCCCCGGGCCTATCATGGAGGCAACGGATCTGCCCCAGCCGTCGCCTGGTCCTGATCCTGCTGGGAGTGAGCACCATCCTCACCATCGCAATCATTGTCTTTGGCTCCAAAGGTGAGTGCTTCAAGGATTGAGGGATGACGTGGGGGAATGACATTAAGAAAATAATAATAATGAGAAAAGGGCGGGGTGTAGTGGGAGAATATTGAAGATCAAGGGGGTAGGCGGATGTCCAAGGAAGGGATGAGTGTTCAATGAAAAGGCCTCAGGCAGAGAATGAGGAGCGCAATGAAGGGTCTGTGTGCACAGCTGGAGTCCTATGCAGACACAGGAAGGGAGAATGTGGGGGGTGGCAGCTGTGGGGTGCCCCACCTACACCTCCCTCTCTTCTTCCCCCACATGTTGTGACTGCCCTTTGAAGTGGGGCTACCTTTGACGGTGACCCTACCTGCCCACAGACTGTCTCTCCAGAGTGGTGCATGCTCTAGTTATCTCATGCATGGACTACTGCAATGTGCTGTACATGGGGCTGCTACCTTTGAAGGTGACCCGGAAACTACAACTAATCCAGAATGTGGTAGCTGGACTGGGGACTGGGAGCGGCCGCCGAGACCACATAACACCGGTCCTGAAAGACCTACATTGGCTCCCAGGACGTTTCCGAGCACAATCAAAGTGTTGGTGCTGACCTTGAAAGCCCTAAACGGCCTCAAAGGCCCAGTAAATCTGAAGGAGCGTCTCCACCCCCATCGTTCAGCCAGACACTGAGGTCCAGCTCCGAGGGCCTTCTGGCAGTTCCCTCCCTGCGAGAAGCCAAGTTACAGGGAGCCAGGCAGAGGGCCTTCTTGGTGGTGGCGCCTGCCCTGTGGCATGTTCTGGGTTCCTCTCCTACTTCCTGCATGTGGGGAGTGGGGACCCTGTTGCAAAAGTTCAATAAAGATCAGGCTTACTAGCCGCTTTGCTTCTCAATATTCTCTGGTCGGCCTCTGTTATTTCCTCCTACCAATAGAGAACCTACATAAGGACTCTATACGGGCTTTTGGAGACCCCATAAAGGACAAAGGAGCAGTTTTTCTTATAGCACCGGAATTCGCCGGTTGGCAGAGTGTTGCTGAGCTGATGTCCAGCTTGTGGGCTTCTTCTAAGCCACACCTGCTGGACCACAGTGAGAACAGGGTGCTGGACTGGACGGGCCATTGGCTGGATCCAGCAAACCTCTTACTACGTTATTGCATTCTTACCCGCACCGCAGGCAGTCAACGCAGCTCTCAGCTATCGGGGATGCGCGATACACTCACAAGCCTGAATCAAAGTATTGGTGACGGAATCGTCTCCCTCCAGCAGAAGGGTAAGTAAAGGACGCATTGCGTACCCTCCAACATTTCTCCGATGGAAATAGGGACGTCCGGAGAAGAATGGCAGGTGAAGTGGATGGGCTATAATATGCTGAAACGGCTAAAATGGCCAGAAGAGTCAGAAATCAGGAAGACCAAAATTTTAATAAGGAATGGGGAGAATTTATAACTTAGCTTAAAGACCAGGCTTCCTCAACCTCGGCCCTCCAGATGTTTTGAGACTACAATTCCCATCATCCCTGACCACTGGTCCTGCTAGCTAGGGATCATGGGAGTTGTAGTCCAAAAACATCTGGAGGGCCGAGGTTGAGGAAGCCTGTTAAAGACCACTGTAAACAGTTAAAATCACTACAGTGGTACCTCGGTTCACAAACCTAATCCGTTCCGTTCCAAAACCAAGGTGCGCTTTCCCATAGAAAGTAATGCAAAACGGATTAATCCGTTCCAGACTTTTAAAAACAACCCCTAAAACAGCAATTTAACATGAATTTTACTATCTAACGAGACTGTTGATCCATAAAATGAAAGCAATAAACAATGTACGGCACTCACACAATCAATCAATCAATTACAGTGGTACCTCGGGTTACATACGCTTCAGGTTACATACACTTCAGGTTACAGACTCCGCTAACCCAGAAATAGCGCTTCGGGTTAAGAACTTTGCTTCAGGATGAGAACAGAAATCGTGGTCTGGCAGCGCGGCAGCAGCAGGAGGCCCCATTAGCTAAAGTGGTGCTTCAGGTTAAGAACAGTTTCAGGTTAAGAACAGACCTCCGGAACAAATTAAGTACTTAACCCGAGGTACCACTGTAGTAGCTGAACTGGGTTCCACACAGTCACAAAAGAAAAAAGAGCTGCAAAAACACAAACACAAAATAAATAGCAAGAAGAGACAGACCTCAATGTATCACTCAAAATGGAAGCGTGACACTCAAAACGGAGCACGTTCGGCTTCCGAAAAAAGTTTGCAAACTGGAACACTTACTTCCGGGTTTGCAGCGTTTGGGTTCCAAGTTGTTCGAGTACCAAGGCGTTTGAGAACCAAGGAACCACTGTAGTTGGTTAGGTGAATCAATTAAAAACTGTTAGCAACAACCGGGAATAGCATCCCTGGTTATTTGGGTGACGTGGTTTTTTAAAAATTGAGTGTTGTTGTTTTTTAAAGGGTGTATTAAAAACTTCAGGAAACAACTGCAGCCTCTCTGAGCCGCGATTCCTGTATTGGAGAATCGCTGCTGCCAGTCTGTGTCAGCAGCACTAAGCTAGGTGGAGCAAGGGTCTCCAATTCAGCATAATAATAATAATAATAATAATAATAATAATAATAATAATTTATTATTTATACCCCGCCCATCTGGCTGGGCCTCCCCAGCCACTCTGGGCGGCTTCCATAAAAACCAAAAATACAATAAAATCACACATTAAAAACTTCCCTGAACAGGGCTGCCTTAAGATGTCTTCTGAATGTCAGGTAGTTGTTTATCGCTTTGACATCTGCTGGAAGGGCGTTCCACAGGGCGGGCGCCACTACCGAAAAGGCCCTCTGCCTGGTTCCCTGTAGCTTTGCTTCTCGCAATGAGGGAACTGCCAGAAGGCCCTCGGCGCTGGACCTCAGCGTCCGGGCAGAATGATGGGGGTGGAGACGCTCCTTCAGGTATACTGGACCGACGCCGTTTAGGGCTTTAAAGGTCAGCACCAACACTTTGAATTGTGCTCGGAAACGTACTGGGAGCCAATGTAGGTCTTTCAAGACCGGTGTTATATGGTCTCGGTGGCCGCCCCCAGTCACCAGTCTAGCTGCCGCATTCTGGATTAGTTGTAGTTTCCGGGTCACCTTCAAAGGTAGCCCCACGTAGAGCGCATTGCAGTAGTCCAAGCGGGAGATAACCAGAGCATGCACCACTCTGGCGAGACAGTCCGCAGGCAGGTAGGGTCTCAGCCTACGTACCAGATGGAGCTGGTAAACAGCTGCCCTGGACACAGATTTGACCTGTGCCTCCATGGACATCTGTGAGTCCAAAATGACTCCCAGGCTGCGCACCTGGTCCTTCAGGGGCACAGTTACCCCATTCAGGACCAGGGAATCCTCCACACCTGCCCGCCTCCTGTCCCCCAAAAACAGTACTTCTGTCTTGTCAGGATTCAACCTCAATCTGTTAGCTGCCATCCATCCTCCAACCGCCTCCAGACACTCACGCAGGACCTTCACCGCCTGGTTCTGATTTAAAAGAGAGGTAGACCTGGGTATCATCGGCATACTGATGAACACCCAGCCCAAACCTCCTGATGATCTCTCCCAGCGGCTGCATGTAAATGTTGAAAAGCATGGGGGAGAGGACAGAACCCTGAGGCACCCCACAAGTGAGAGCCCAGGGGTCTGAACACTCATCCCCCACCACCACTTTCTGAACACGGCCCAGGAGGAAGGAGCGGAACCACTGTATGACAGTGCCCCCAGCTCCCAGCCCCCCAAGACGGTCCAGAAGGATGTTATGGTCGATGGTATCAAACGCCGCTGAGAGATCCAGCAGAACTAGGAAACAGCTCTCACCTTTGTCCCTAGCCCGCCGGAGATCATCAACCAGTGCGACCAAGGCAGTTTCAGTCCCATGATGAGGCCTGAATCCCGACTGGAAGGGATCCAAATGGTCCGCTTCTTCCAGGCGTGCCTGGAGTTGTTCGGCAACCGCTCGCTCAATCACCTTGCCCAGGAATGGAAGATTTGAGACTGGGCGATAATTGGCCATCGTGGCCGCATTTAAAGATGGTTTTTTAAGAAGCGGTTTAATAACCGCCTCTTTCAGCAGGTCTGGGAAGGCTCCCTCACGGAGGGAAGCATTCACCACCCCACGAAGCCCATCGCCCAGTCCTTCCCGGCTAGCTTTTATAAGCCAGGATGGGCAAGGATCCAGGAGACAGGTGGTTGGTTTCACTCGTCCAAGCAGCCTGTCCACATCCTCGGCGGTAACAGATTGGAATTGATCCCACTCAACTTGACTAGACAGAACTCTAGCACTCTCCCGCCCCGGCCCTGCTCCCACGGTGGAGTCTACTTCTTCCCGAATCTGAGCGATTTTATCTGCAAAAAACTTTGCAAAATCATTGCAGGAGAACATGTGGCCCGTACTGGGCCCCGATGTTGCAGGTGGTTCCGCTAAATTGTGAGCATTAGGTGGCTCTTGCAGTATTAGACCACAGCCCATGTCCTCCTGTAATGTTTTCCTCCCGCTGAAGCTCCATTCGGCAAAGGTCCCCTGCCATGTTAATTAGAAGCTTCCCACTCCTTTTCGCTCCTTTCGTCGCTCCCCGTTCGGGCGAGGGCAGCACTGCCGGAGAATGATGCTGAACGCGGGAGATGCTGTGAACTTACAGAGGGGAATCATAGACACAAAATCCACACAGAAACACATCATTGCTTGTTTTAACCCGCTTGTGGCAACAACTCAGAGGCTGTGAAGGAAGGAAGGTTAACAGCAGAAAGAATTAGAGGACCCATCGGAAGTGACTATGAAAAGCAGTAGAAGTATGAGGTGATCAGAACCCTCCGAAATTGAAGCATGGGAAGTCCTATTTTAAAAATTATAATTTGGCAGAATATTCAGATTATTTGATATGTACACTGGTACCTCGGGTTAAGTACTTAATTCGTTCCGGAGGTCCATTCTTAACCTGAAACTGTTCTTAACCTGAAGCACCACTTTAGCTAATGGGGCCTCCCGCTGCCGCTGCGCGATTTCTGTTCTCATCTTGAAGCAAAGTTCTTAATCTGAGGTAGTATTTCTGGGTTAGCGGAGTCTGTAACCTGAAGCATATGTAACCTGAAGCGTATGTAACCCGAGGTACCACTGTATATGTATGATGTGGAATATTTAATGTGATTTGATTGGATTGTTAAAGTGGAAAATTTAATAAAAATGATTTTTTAAAAAGAGAATGATGCTGAATGCGCCACGATCAGTCCCCAAGCGCTAAGGCAGGTGACAGCGAAGGTTTGGTGGGGTGGGGGGCCGCAAGAGAAGACTCCAGCTCGGACCATGTTGCTACCCGACCCGACCTCTTTTGCATATAGCTGTTGTTTTTCTCTCTCTTTGCCGGGACACGCAGGCAGGCAGCCATGTTTTTCTTTGTTCTGACGAACGCTGAATCAAGTTGTAAATAATGCTCTCCTGAGTGCATCTTCCATTGTGCGAACTCTGCAAAGGGCGTGCACAAGTCCTTGGAATGTGGACAGTTGTTTCTGAGGCTCGTGTCGCTAATTGACTGATACTGCGTTTCTACGGGAGGTCGATGGATCATCCGGAGACGTCGTCGGGGCATGATGGCATTCGTCTCCCTGGCAGTATCCTAACACTTTGTGCCTTGCAGGGACGGACACGGCCACGAAGATCACGCAGCTGGAGGCGAAGGTGAAAAAGCTGACGGAGGAAGCAGAAGCAGGTAAATTGGGGAGGGGAAACAGGATGCATTTTTTTTAAAAAAAAGTCCACTGAGAACTGGTGCAATTGCTTTTTTTAAGCGGTCCCAAATTGGAGAGGGGGGGGTTTTCATCTGCCCGGACATGGAGGTCCAGCTCCGAGGGCCTTCTGGCGGTTCCCTCACTGTGAGAAGCCAAGTTACAGGCACAGGGCCTTCTCGGTGGTGGCACCCTTCCTGTGGAACGCCCTCCCATCAGATGTCAAAGAGAAGAACAACTACCAGACTTTTAGAAGACATCTGAAGGCAGCCCTGTTTAGGGAAGCTTTTAATGTTTAATAGGTTATTGTATTTTAGTCTTTTGTTGGAAGCTGCCCAGAGTTGCTTGGGGGTATAAATTATTATTATTATTGTTGTTGTTGTTATTTGGAGCTGCTTGTGTGGGTCTCCTTTTATTTACCGGTTTCCTCATTCAGCTGCTGCTCCTTTTCTCTCCCCTCCCTCTCTTTTCACCTTTGCCAGCCAAGACACGACTCCTGTCCCAGATGACAACCTTGCAGAGGAGTTTTAGAGGCATGAATTGCGACTTGCAGAACTTCAAAAACAACCGGACAGGTCAGGAGTGTGGGGAGTCGGGGTCTGGAAAGCAGAGTGCCTGAGTGTTCAAGGCACTTGGGAATGTTCACGGTGCCAGAAGAGGATATATTGTTTATTCATATCATTCCTAACTTGCACTAGCAAGTTCCTTTACTTGTTTGTCGTTTAGTCGTTTAGTCGTGTCCGACTCTTCGTGACCCCCTGGACCAGAGCACGCCAGGCACTCCTGTCTTCCACTGCCTCACACAGTTTTGTCAAACTCATGCTTGTAGCTTCTATGACACTGTCCCACCATCTCGTCCTCCGTCGTCCCCTTCTCCTTGTGCCCTCCATCTTTCCCAGCATCAGTGTTCAAGGCACTTGGGAATGTTCACGGTGCCAGAAGAGGATATATTGTTTATTCATATCATTCCTAACTTGCACTAGCAAGTTCCTTTACTTGTTTGTCGTTTAGTCGTTTAGTCGTGTCCGACTCTTCGTGACCCCCTGGACCAGAGCACGCCAGGCACTCCTGTCTTCCACTGCCTCACACAGTTTTGTCAAACTCATGCTTGTAGCTTCTATGACACTGTCCCACCATCTCGTCCTCCGTCGTCCCCTTCTCCTTGTGCCCTCCATCTTTCCCAGCATCAGGGTCTTCTCCAGGGAGTCTTCTCTTCTCATGAGGCGGCCAAAGTCTTGGAGCCTCAGCTTCAGGATCTGTCCTTCCAGTGAGCACTCAGGGCTGATTTCCCTAAGAATGGAGAGGTTGGATCTTCTTGCAGTCCATGGGACTCTCAAGAGTCTCCTCCAGCACCAGAATTCAAAAGCATCATTTACTTAGCAGAGTTCATTTCCCTTTACACAGCAGAAAACTTGTTGCAAACTCATATGGGTTTCTTAAGACAATACACAGTTCAATCTGGCTTGTCCAGGTTGAAATGCGTTCTAATATTTCCCCTTGAATCCCTCCTAAAAGAATAAAGACACCACAGCCTTATTCATAAGCAATAAAAGGAAGTTTACTCACGATCAGGCAGAGCATAGTGTGATCCCTGAAGGCAGGCTTGAGGCCAGTGATGGCCAGACTTGGCCCTCCAGCTGTTTTGGGACTACAACTCCCATCATCCCTAGCTAACAGGAGCAGAGGTCAGGGATGATGGAATGATTGATTCATAAGATTTATACATCGATTCATAAGAGAGCCAGTGTGGTGTAGTGGTTAAGAGCAGTGGACTCGTAATCTGGGGAACCGGGTTCGCGTTTCTGCTCCTCCACATGCAGCTGCTGGGTGACCCTGGGCCAGTCACACTTCTCTGAAGTCTCTCAGCCCCACTCACCTCACAGAGTGTTTGTTGTGGGGCAGGAAGGGAAAGGAGAATGTGAGCCGCTTTGAGACTCCTTAAAGGGAGTGAAAGGCGGGATTTCAAATCCAAACTCCTGTTCTTCTTCTAAGATTAAGGCACCCCTTGTCTGTAAAAACCACACACAAAGCGGTTTACAAAAAAGACGAAAGGGGAATATTGTGACCAAGAAGAATTAACAACAGCAATTCGAGGCTCTTGAAAAGGGATTGCAACATTCTAAAAGTTGAAAATAACAATTGGCCAAAAACAGATGAAAGCTCGCATGAATTTTCTAAACAACTGAGTAGGCTGAACATGTATATACGAAACCCTAACCACGAACCCCCTAACCCTAACCGCTACACAACCCTGGTTCGATCCAACATTAGTCAGAGAAGTCCCACTGAAATCGGCGGACCTCGGTTGTTTCATTGGTACTGCTCGGAGTCTGACTAACGCTGAATATCCCTCTTTCCTTTCTGTCTCCTGGCCCCCCAGAGGCCTGCTGCCCCAAAGGATGGGACATTTTTCGGAAAAGCTGTTACTGGGAGTCCCGACTCGGGAGGCCCTGGGAGGAAGCCAAGGCTGACTGCGAGGCCCGAGACGCTCACCTGGTGATCATCAACTCCTATGAGGAACAGGTAGGGGCCTGGGGGATCTTACAGGTCTGCCCCCTGCGCTGTGGGTTTGGTGCTAAAAGGTAAAGGGACCCCTGACCATTAGGTCCAGTCGTGGCCGACTCTGGGGTTGCAGTGCTCATCTCGCTTTACTGGCCGAGGGAGCCGGCGTACAGCTTCTGGGTCATGTGGCCAGCAGGACTAAGCTGCTTCTGGCGAACCAGAGCAGCGCACGGAAACGCTGTTTACCTTCCCGCTGGAGTGGTACCTATTTATCTACTTGCACTTGGACGTGCTTTTGAACTGCTAGGCGGGCAGGAGCAGGGACCGAGCCACGGGAGCTCACCCCGTCGCGGGGATTCGAACCGCCGACCTTCTGATCGGCAAGTCCTAGGCTCTCTGGTTTAACCGACAGCGCCACCCGCATCTCGGGTTTGGTGGTAGGCAGGGGTAAAATGTCGCCTCCATCCTTGCAGACTCACCTAGGTGTTAAGATCAACAGTGGAGGCCCTCTTAAAATCATAGAATGGTAAAGTTGGAAGGGAACCCCATGGTCATAGTTGCGTGTACAGTCAAACCTCGGTTGTCAAACATAATCTGAAATGATCGACAATTGAGGCATGGCTTCCGATTGGTTGCAGGAGCTTCTTGCACTCAAACAGAAGCCGCGTCGGACTTGCAGCATCCGAAAAACGTTCAAAAACCAGATAATTTACCTCCGGGTTTTTGGCGTTTGGGAGCCAAAATGTTAAAAAACGAAGCCATTCGAGAACCAAGGTTTGACTGTATTAGTGATAATAACATATCAAAGAATGCATTCTATTGCAGAACATTGCTTTGCAAAAACGGGCATCTGGCGCAAATGTACAAAAAAAATTAGGTGAAATATAATATGCTGGTGAATTTTGCAATTTTTTTGCTGACAAATCCTGCAATTTTCAGTGCAAGTGTGATCTGCAAAAATACATACACTAGGGTAAGGTGTGCATAAGAATGCATATTAAAAGGTAGGTTATCATCGCCATAATATTAGGGATTTTTGTTGTTGTTGCAAAAATGTGTCTGTTAGTCACAATGGCATACAAAAAATAACCTGTCTAGCAGGACAAATTTGCCCTAAAATGCTGACGGAATTTCATAGTTGCTGCTGTTGTTTTTAATTGCAAAATGTCGAGAACTGGGTTTAAGATTTAAAAAATGAGAAACAGAGCTGACCGATCCTAGCGTTGTCCTCTCTTTGTATTTTCTACTTTTTGTGCTTTTTTTCCTCACGCCAGCGATTTGTGGCCGTCCGTGTGCGCCCCCAGTTTATGTGGATCGGCTTGAGTGATGCTACCGGGAGCTGGAAGTGGGTGGACGGAACGCCCTACACCGTTCGCCAATCGTAAGTTTGCGGACGGCCGTGCGGCCAACCCATAATGCAATGTATTCACACCATACATTCAAAGCCCTGTGATACAACTTTAAAGAGCCTGGTTTCCCCCAGAGGATTCTGGGAGCTGTGGCTTGTTAAGGGTGCTGAGAGTTGTGAGGAAAGACACCTATTTCCCCCCCCACAGAGCCCCCCTATGATGCCACTTCCTTTTTAAAAAATATAATTTTTATTAAATTTTCACTTTAAACAGTAATTTCAAATATTCGTCTACTACTCTCATTCCCTGCTGAGCTTATGACTTCCCTCCATCTCACCAACAAGATTTCCCTTTTCAAATCTATATCTCACAGTTGAATCTTATATTATAAAGTCCACGCCATAGGGTTTATTTCAATCCTGCAGTGTCTTCACACTTCTACAGTTATTATTTATGTAGTCAATGGATTTACTCCAGTCTCTTTGGAATTTTCAATCGTCCTGGTTTCGAACCTTGCAGGTCGGCTTTGCCAATTCCGCATAATCCATCATTTCCGTCTGCCACTCCTCCATCGCTGAGAATTCCCGTAACTTCCACTTTGGGGCTAATCGAGTTCTCGCCGCAGTTGTTGCGTACATAAATAGTCTCTGATCTACCTTTGCAGTTTCCTCTCCCGTCAAGCCCAGCAAAAAAGCTTCCGCTATGATGCCACTTTCAATGGTCATGGCTTCCCCCAAAGGATTCTGGGAGCTTGTTCAGAGCACTGAGACTTCTGAGAAGATGCCTGTTCCCCTCAAAGAACCACAATTCCCAGAATTCCCTGGGAAGAGGAATTGGCTGTTAAACTACTCTGCGCATTGTAGCTCTATGAGGGGAATTGGGGTAGAGGAGTGGGTCTGCTGGCAACTCTCTGCCCCCTTAACCAGCCACAGCTCCCAGAATCCTTTGGGGGAAGCCATGCCACCATAGTTGTCAGGAGCTGGCCAGCTGCCAGCTTGAGAAAGCAGTACGCAAGAGGTAATTAACGGAAGATTTATTGCTGGGGACCACCTCCTTCTGTGGTCTATGTATGATGTTTTGGGGGGCGGTCTTGAGCTACAGGGGAGGCAGTTTCAAAAGTCTATATAAGAGCTTGTTCTGGGTTCCTCTCCACCCTCCCTGCGTGGGGTGAGTGGGGGACCCTGTTGCAACAATTTAATAAAGATCAGGCTTGCAAGCTGCTTTGCTTCTCAATATTCTCTGGTTGGCCTCTGTTATTTCCTCCTACTGATAGAGAACCTACATGAGGACTCTATATGGGCTCTTGGATACCCCATAAGGGGAAAAGAAGCAGTTTTTCTTATAACAAGGGCGTGGGGAGGTGGTCATCAAAGTATGTGCTTTAGCCTTGTTGTAAGAACCTAACCCTAACACCTGTCCCTCTTGACCTAGAATTCAACCTCTGCACCCATTCGCTAAGAATCTAAGTGCATTTTTCTTATTTTTCTTTTTATATAATTTTTTATTAGTTTTTTAACATATCATTTTCAACAGTAATTAAACATACTTTTACATCTTATTCATTTTTTTTTAACTTCCACCAGTCCTGTCTGAAAATTTTCCAATCTAATCTCTCGGTATGCATTTCTTATCCTCCCTATTACATTTCAAACTCATAACCATTATCTCTATCTTTTTCTACTTTGTAACACTTCGTATATTTCTCCTCACGAAACTTCTTGTAGTCCTACTAGCGTAATTTGTTGATTACAGTTGCTCTTCAAATAATTCATATACTTCTTCCAATCTTCTGTCAATCTCTGGTCCCGCAGGTTTCGAATCCTCCCTGTCATTTTGTCCAATTCTGCACAGTCCATTAATTTCGTCTGCCATTCTTCCTTTGTCGGAATTTCTTCTTGCTTCCATTTCTGGGCTAACAATACTCTTGCCACTGTTGTTGCATATAAGAACATAACCTAAGTGCATTTTTCACCCTTCCTTTCCGGGCTTGAACCTGGAGGTGTTTGAGAGTCATAACCCACGGTTTCTCTTTTTTCCCTTCCAGGGACTGGGCCCCGGGGCAACCAGATAACTGGTATGGCCACGGACTTGGGGGAGGAGAGGACTGTGCCCACCTCCATCACGACGGCAGCTGGAACGACGACCACTGCTCTCGCAACTATGGCTGGGTCTGCGAGATGGAGGCAGTGGATTAAGGGGGGCAGCCGGCCCTTTGACCCCTGGCTCCAAGAAACTGAGTTCTCACCAGTTGCTGAAGGATCTGGGATCCTGGGGCAACGGGAGCAGTTTTGCTGCCTTCACCCCTGGGGAGGTTCTTCAGTTTCTTCTCAAACAACCCCACTTGACTACTGTGTCCTAAAACAGCCAGGCATACAAAGCCCTCCATACCTGACTGCTTTATTTCATATTTTTTTAACCCAAATTTTAATTTTCTACACCGGCAATGGGCACCCAGAACCTCGATTCCCCTGTTGTGACTCTGGCTCCAACCATTAACAACACAGCCAGTGCCGGATTGATACCTTTAAAGGCCCCTAAGCGCTTAAAGGATTTTGGTGCCCCCACGAATATCTAATTCAGAATGCAAACAAGAATAAACCGTGAAATAAAATTTTATTTTTCGAAATGAAACGAAGTCTACAGTAGGGTGGGAAATAATGTTTCTTTTTGCATACTTCGACTTTATCTGCATTTGGGGGGAAATTATCCTCCTTTTTCCGATTACAAAGTCTCTGATCAGATCCTCAAAACTAATCTTACGTAACACATCTGCTTCTATACTTGGTAGAGATATAGTGGTGCCCCGCAAGACGAATGCCTCGCATGACGAAAAACCCGCTAGACGAAAGGGTTTTCCGTTTTTCGATGCGCTTCGCAAGACGATTTTCCCTATGGGCTTGCTTCGCAAGACGGAAACGTCTTGCGAGTCTTGCGATTTTTTTCGCTTCCCCCCCTTTTTCTAAGCCGCTAAGCCGCTAATAGCCTTTTAGCCGCTAAGCCGCTAAGCCTTTAACAGCCGCTAAGCCGCTAATAGCCTTTTAGCCGCTAAGCCGCTAAGCCGCTAATAGCTGCTAAGCCGCTAATAGCGCTAATCCGCTAAGCTGCTAATAGGGTTGCTTCGCAAGACGAAAAAACCGCTAGACGAAGAGACTCGCGGAACGGATTATTTTCGTCTTGCGAGGCACCACTGTAAGGAATCCAGCCTGCCTTGTTGCACAGTTGCTCGGTTGGGATTTTCAATAGACTTCAGCTGAGAAAATGAAAGCTTGGCTGAGCAGTTTGTGACCATTAATATTAAAAATCTGGCAATGCAAAATTTCTGTGCTGCACCCACTTCCCTTGACGCTCTAAGCATGAGTTTACTTTGCTTAATGGTTGATCCAGCCCTGAACACAAACCCTTCTGCCCCTTGGCTGTATGTGAGATTCCCCCAACATCTCTTTCTCCTTTATTACTTTCCTCATTTCCTGGGCTCTCCTTCTGTCCTTCTGGCCTTTCACTTCCCTCACAGAAGTTGCTCCGTCTGCGAACATTCTGCTGCTGTCCTTTTCCCTCCCCGCCCTGGGAACGCACACTATCCTTTAGCTCCCTGGGCAACTGAGCTTGTATACATCAGGCAAAAGATCTGACCGTGTGGCTCTTAGCAATTAACGTACGGTTTCTGGAACTTGGAACAGGGAAGGCAGGTATGTTTTTTTGGGGGGGCGGAGCGATGCCCCATTTCTCTCTGTGCTTGCAAATTGGCTGGGGAAACTTCTCGGCAATAATAATTCAAGGAGAAATTAGGTGTCACCTTTATTACAACAACAACAATCTTTATTACGGTCCAGAGACCCAACAAATCGTTACAAAGCAATACACAATTCATACAGCCTACCTCCAGGTCAAACAAGCATTTTGTTCAGAATATAGGCATCATTGGTTCTTGCAACCACCGCTAAAAACTTTGCCACTGCTAATGTTCTAGCATTTGTCCGGTCTTCCAATAGGAACCTGAAATAGTGAGCCTCTGATTTTCTCAGGAAAGATACCAGCAAGGGTAGTATCAGTTCAGCCCTGGCTTGCTCATATTTTGCCCAGTGCAACAAAATATGTTTTATGGAATCGATGTCTTGAGCACACGAGCAAAGTCTGTCCTGGTAGGGAACTCCTCTCAACCTGCCATCTAACACTGCAGAAGGAAAGACGTTTAGTCTGGCTTTGGTGAAAAGCCTTCTTCATCCTGGAGAAGAGTGACTAGTGGGGTGCCACAGGGTTCTGTCTTGGGCCCGGTCTTATTCAACATCTTTATCAACGACTTGGATGATGGACTCAAGGGCATCCTGATCAAATTTGCAGATGACACCAAACTGGGAGGGGTGGCTAACACCCCAGAGGACAGGATCACACTTCAAAACGACCTTGACAGATTAGAGAACTGGGCCAAAACAAACAAGATGAACTTTAACAGGGAGAAATGTAAAGTATTGCACTTGGGCAAAAAAAATTGAGAGGCACAAATACAAGATGGGGGACACCTGGCTTGAGAGCAGTACATGCGAAAAGGGCCTAGGAGTCTTGGTTGACCACAAACTTGACATGAGCCAACAGTGTGACGCGGCAGCTAAAAAAGCCAATGCAATTCTGGGCTGCATCAATAGGAGTATAGCATCTAGATCAAGGGAAGTAATAGTGCCACTGTATTCTGCTCTGGTGAGACCTCACCTGGAGTACTGTGTCCAGTTCTGGGGACCACAGTTCAAGAAGGACACTGACAAACTGGAACGTGTCCAGAGGAGGGCAACCAAAATGGTCAAAGGCCTGGAAACGATGCCTTATGAGGAACGGCTAAGGGAGCTGGGCATGTTTAGCCTGGAGAAGAGGAGGTTAAGGGGTGATATGATAGCCATGTTCAAATATATAAAAGGATGTCACATAGAGGAGGGAGAAAGGTTGTTTTCTGCTGCTCCAGAGAAGCGGGCACGGAGCAATGGATCCAAACTACAAGAAAGAAGATTCCACCTAAACCTTAGGAAGAACTTCCTGACAGTAAGAGCTGTTGGACAGTGGATTTGCTGCCCAGGAGTGTGGTGGAGTCTCCTTCTTTGGAGGTCTTTAAGCAGAGGCTTGACAACCATATGTCAGGAGTGCTCTGATGGTGTTTCCTGCTTGGCAGGGGGTTGGACTCCATGGCCCTTGTGGTCTATTCCAGATCTATGATTCTATGATTCTATAGTTTGGTACTGTCAGGTTTTTAATGTAAGATGTTAACTTAAAGACATGCCCATATTGTAGTAATAAATCAGGGAAACGGAATCAAATCCTGGGCTAGGCCACTGTGTGCCTGCATGTGCGCGCCTCCTCACCTGGAGCGATCAGCTTGGCTGGCAGGCTTGTCAGAGTGAAGCCTTTGTTGCCATCCTAAATTACTGGTTTGTCTCACCCAAGGAGCACCCAGCTCTCTGCTCCAACTGCCTCGTGGTTTCAGGTGGAGCCCAGCCAGGTGACCTGGCGTGCAGCCAGGCCTCTCAAATCTTCCTCAGGTGTCGCTACGATACAATATGATAATCTTTATTGTCATTGTCCCATACAGAACAACGAAATTGAAAAAATCTACATCAGACATTCAAAAACCAACAAACCTGCTATCCCAACTATCCCAGCCTGGTTAGCCCCCTAAAAACTCTGATACCCCCTAATTGAATACAATATACTCCCATAGAGACTACCTCACAGTGCGTTTAAAACCAAAATCGCATTTGGATAGAAACTGTTTCTCAGGCGGCTAGTCTATTCCTTCTTCCAGAAAGGGACGCGGGTGGTGCCGTGGGTTAAACCACAGAGCCTAGGTCTTGCCGATCAGAAGGTCGGTGGTTCGAATCCCCGCAATGGGATGAGCACCTGTTGCTCGGTCCCTGCTCCTGCCAACCTAGCAGTTCGAAGCACCTCAAAGTGCAAATAGATAAATAGGTACCACTCTGGCAGGAAGGTAAACGGCATTTCCGTGCGCTGCTCTGGTTCGCCAGAAGCGGCTTCGTCATGCTGGCCACATGACCCGGAAGTTATATGCCTGCTTCCTCTGCCAATAAAGCGAGATGAGCGCCGCAACCCCAGAGTCGGTCACGACTGGACCTAATGGTCAGGGGTCCCTTTACCTTTACCTTTACCTTCTTCCAGAAGGCAGAAGCTGAAAGAGATCATTTCCGGGGTGCGGCATAGATTTGATCTAAGGTGGGAAGAGGGCACCCAATTATTCTCTCCACAGTCTTTACAACCCTGGACAGCATTGTTTTCCCCCTGACCGTGCAGCTCCCAAACCACACACACAGACCATAAGTTAATACACTCTCCACAGTACAATGGTAAAATGCCATCAACAAAGATTGTTTTTCTGGAGGATTCTCAGAAAATATAACCTCTGCTGTGCTCTCTTCATTGGGTCTTTGCTGTTTTCTCCCCAGGTTAGGTCATCTCTCAACCCCATTCCCAGAAATTGAAAACACAGAGACCTTTTCCACGCACTTCCCCTCGATAATAAGTGGCTGAATATTCAATTTACATTTCCTAAAGTCCACAATAATCTCTTTTAGTTAAGGAATAAGTTGTTTTTCCTGCACCACTCCCCCAACTGCTCAACTTCCTTCCGATAGTCAGCTAGGATGTCAGAATTCCTGCCAGGGGTGGAGAGGGAAGTCTGAGAAGGGGAGGGTGGCTCTGTTGGAATCTAACCCTCACATAACAGGAATGGAGGAGGCAATGCGTTGGGGGGAGATGGAATTGCGGGGGTTGGACTAGATGACCCTCGGGTCCCTTTCGACTCTACAATTCAGTGAATGCTGGGGGTTTGAGGAGAGAGGACAGGTCGAGGCAATGAAGAAAAACGGTGAGAGGCAAAGATCTGTGTGAGTGCCTGGAGGCGGTTGGAGGATGGATGGCGGCTAACAGATTGAGGTTGAATCCTGACAACACAGAAGTACTGTTTTTGGGGGACAGGGGGCGGGCAGGTGTGGGGGATTCCCTGGTCCTGAATGGGGTAACTGTGCCCCTGAAGGACCAGGTGCGCAGCCTGGGAGTCATTCTGGACTCACACTGTTCCATGGAGGCACAGGTCAATTCTGTGTCCAGGGTGGCTGTCTCCCAGCTCCATCTGGTGCACAGGATGAGACCCTCCCTGCCTGCAGACTGTTGGGCCAGAGTGGCGCATGCTCTAGTTATCTCCCGCTTGGACTACTGCCATGCGCTCCATGTGGGGCTACCTTTGAAAGGTGACTCGGAAACTACAACTAATCCAGAATGGGGCAGCTAGACTGGGGACTGGGAGTGGCCGCCGAGACCACATAACACTGGTCTTGAAAGACCTACATTGGCTCCCAGGACATTTCCGAGCACAATTCGAAGTATTGGTGCTGACCTTGAAAGCCCTAAACGTCCTCAAAGGCCCAGTAGACCTGAAGGAGCATCTTCACCCCCATCGTTATACCTGGACACTGAGGTCCAGCTCCAAGGGCCTTCTGGCGGTTCCCTCACTGCGAGAAGCCAAGTTACAGGGAACCAGGCAGAGGGCCTTCTCGGTGGTGGCACCTGCCTTGTGAAACGCCCTCCCTCCAGATGTCAAAGAGAAAAATAACTACCAAACTTTTAGAAGACATCTG